AGCTAGGTCTGCACTGGCATACACCAGCTCTTTTCTTTTTCATTGGCAACAAATGACACTGTCATGTGACCACAAGGGAGGCTGCGAGAGGCAGTCCAGCTGTGCTTCCTCCAAAGAGAAAAATGGATTTTGATGGAGAGCTGAAGTTCTCTGCCACAATGAGTAACTCATTCAGATTCACAGCATTTTCCAAATCAGTAATGAATACTTATCATATGCCAAGCACCACACCAAGGGCTGAAATGCAATTTGACTGAGCAGCAGTGTTCCTTGGAGAAGCTCCACATTGAATGAAGACGATAAAACATGGTGTGAAGTAACTGACATCCTGGGAGAAAATGAACAAGTGGATGGGCTCTGGCAGTTCAGTGAATAATTCTAGATTTGGAAGCTGCCTGGAGGTAACTGCAGGTTAAGTCCATGTTCAAAGAAAAAGGAGACTTGGTGGCTGAAGGAAAATGGCAGCAAAACCATAGAAGTAGGTCACTCATGTACAAGATTTAGAATGAATACTATGCAGCCATAAAACATATATTTTGGAAGAAATAATAGGGATGGGTTAATTGCTAATGTAAAGTGAAAAACTGACTAGGGATATAGGATAACGCCACTTTTAAAAAATGCTCTATGAATTTAGACAGCATTATAGAGGTATGTTGAGTTGTAATCTTCTAATTAAAACAATATTTGTCTGTTGATATGATGGGGAGGATTTCGCAAATATGTTTCGGTTGTTATACTAATATATTTTTAAAATCAAGCACACGGAATGGTGAAGTAGACAAGTTATTTCCAACACTTTTTTTCTATTTGTTGTGGTGGGACCCTGGGCATGACTCAGGTGCCCATAGAATAATCCCTGAAATACTGCACTCGACAACTGTCTTATGCTTCTTACAGTGAGAAATGCCAAAACAATGACTTGCACTGGAACGTGCCCACAAGTATTGAATCTTACAGAATGTAATTCAGACTGAAAGCAAGGATGAAAAGATGTTTATTTGGTGTTGGCTTCTATTGCTGACAGAAGCATGAGCCCCGCAGCACTCATGTCATTTCTCACTAGACCACCAGGGGGCAGCATTGCACCTCTGCTTGGACAGATAGCGCTTGGCCTCCAAGGTTTCTGTACTAGGTGGCCTTCTTCAGAACGTGTTTTCTGACATCAGAAGACTGATTTTTAAAAATTTTTATTGATTTGAGAGAAAGAGAAACATCGATTTGTTCTACTTACTGATGCATTCATTGGTTGGTTCTTGTACGTACCCTGAACTGGGATCAAACCTGCAACCTTGGCGTATGGGGATGATGCTTTAACCAACTGAGCTGCCGGGCCAGGGCATCATCAGATTTCTAGAGGAAATATTTACTTCTCTTCACTGATTTCACTTGGAAGCTAATGAGAATCTACTACCAGTACCAAATATAGGTTGAGCCACTGAGAGAAAAATGTCCCTTGTGACTAAAAGACATGAAAAATGATGTGTCCAACCCCTGTCCTTGTCCACCTGTCTTTTCCACCACCTCTTCAGTCATGAATAAGCCTCTGGGCAAAATATTAACCTTCTGAGTAATAAATTAGAGATAATTGTCCATCATGTGTCCATCTTTGTGACATCAATCTTTGAGCAGCAAGTGGCTCATTCCTAAGATTGTGGAAATGTCGCTGAAACCTGAAGAGACACCATGAATGAGCTGACCAGATCTTTGTGGAAGCCTGCCCAAGTGGGATATCTTTTCAGCACAGCCACGGTTGGGTCCATACTGTCTACTATGCTCCATGCACTGAGTCTGCTTTGCCCTGGGGAGCATGAATTAAGTCCTTGATAGCCTCAAACAGCATCAGGGTGAGAAGTGAAAAATGGGTACAATGGTTGTGGAAGAGAGATAAGGTTATGATTTTAATAACTGGGCATCCTGCCTACAGCAGGTCTCCACTCTATGATATTTTCATCGCCACTCAGCCATCTGAGAGCAGACTCAACACCCTGGTTCTGGCCCCTAGACCATCACCTGAGAGTGAAGATGTGACACAGGACACCTACTATATAAGATCCCTCTACCATGACAGGGAGATGTAGCAGCTCCACCTAATACATAGAAACAAACACAGGGAGGCTGCCAAAATGAGACAGAAACATGTCCCAAATGACTATCTCCTCAATAATAAAATGCAGATGATAGACCTCTGCACAGGTTTGGTGAAGCAATTCAAAGAGAAAACCCAAATATATGCATGTTTAGAACATGCACCTGGCATTCAGTAGCACTCAATAAATATTTTCTACTACCCCCAATTCATCCACCCTTTAATCCCAAATCTCAAGTTTAATCTTGCTTTAGTGGTGTTTTTATGCCCAAATTTAATTGTTGTCATTAGCTGTGTCATTCCCACTAGACTCCAAATTCCAAGCAGGTAGGAATTATGCCTATTTAATTCACCTTTGTAGCTAAGGTGCCTATTCTGGCTGGCAAATAAGCACTAATAGAGTGCATATTTCATAAAACCAAAAAACCCTTCCTTTTAGTAACAACACAATGATAACAAGAAGAAAACTGCTCAAGTTTTAGCTTTTGATATTGGAGATCCAGGCTGAGATGGTTTCTAATCTTATCAAATAAAATTCAGAAAACTGAGGCTGTAGTCCAAAAATAAAAAGACCCTGGGCCCTTAAGAAATATAAACAGAAAATACATGCTAACCTGTGTGAGGGGCAAGGGTTAGAAGATAAAAGGTTTTATTCAACAGATTCCACCTATGAACAAATTATGGCAAATACTGGAGGAAAAAATTCCTTTGTGGTCTTCTAGATACTGTTGGTAGGCTCAATAAATACCCATGGGAGCCAAATCAGGAGTTTTGCAAAATGTGTTGGGTATACTGGATGGTACAGATGATTTTATCTAGTGCATGGATACATCTGTCTCAATATTCAAGTTGAATATTTAACAATAAAAAATATATATGCAAGAAAAATATAAGTAGCACATCATTTTTTAAAAAAATTGATTTTAGAGAGGAAAGGAAAGGGAGAAACATCTATTGGTTGCCTCCTGCATACACCCCGACTATATACACTGCAACTGGGAAATGAACCCGTAACCTGGGTATGTGTCCTGACTGGGAACTGAACCAGCGACCTTTTGGCGTACGGGACGATGCTCAACCTGCTGAGCCACACCAGCCACTGTGCACATCACATTCCTGATTTCACAGGAGCAGCAGCTTCATAGTAATTGACCATAGAAAACGCCCAGGGACAGGTGTGATGATCAGGGATGCTCAGAAGTTCCCAGAGCATCAGCTCTTTTTTGGGTTCCACCCAGGAATCCAACAGCAGCTGGAGTAGAACTGATGTCAAAAGGTATCTAATAAAAAGGTATCAAGAAGGCTAAGGCAGATACGGAGTTTTCTTCCTAGTGCTCTAATGTCCAATTCTGAATAAAGCTCGATGAAGGGAAAGGAGTAATTATAACTGATTGCCAAGTGCCCTATTTGTAATTTACTGACATACTGGAATGGATGAGAGAGGCCACTGTCTCTTTTACTGACTGATCATAAACAGTATCCTTCTTCTAAGGGAAGGGCTCATTTTCAGGAAAATATTTTAATAAATTGTTCACATTTTTACTTAAAATTTCTAATGTTTAAATTTTAATTTTAATTATATTCATTATCTGTTAGATGTGGTATGTAAAATGATTTTTCCATTTACAGTAGTGGTATATAGAAAGTTTATATATAAAGTTTATATAAAAAGTTGCTTTTAAAAATATCAACGTAGTGCAATTACAACAATAAAATCTTTAAAAAGTAACCTTTGAAAATCACTGCAATAAAGCCAAAGCAACAAGTAATGGTTATATTTAGAAACTTGGCTTTTAAAAATAAAACCAAAGCCTTCCCATTACCTACTCATAATTTTTTTCTTCTGACTTTACAGCTAGCCCACAGGGAGACAAACTCACACTTAGGTAAATAAATCTTAATTGTTTCACTAAGATCTTTGTGAATTATGTTACTGCATTATGAGAAACAACATTTAAGAGGATACAGTATGTTTGTTTCACTGGTTACTCTATTGTGTATCCAGACTGGCCTGTATATTCACGAAACAGACACTTACCTCTCCTTCTCACTGTTAGTTCACCAATACTAATCCTGAGTGCTATTATTACCTTCTTGGTCAAGGACAAATAACTCTAGTTCTTTTGGACTAATACAATCCAGAAAAAAAAGTTTACAATCACACTTATAAATGACTTTTAAAAAATAACTGGGTGTATTTCTAATTTTAAAACATTCCAGAAAAACCCCCCACATTGCTGCAGTAAAGTCATAACCCAAAGAAGAAACTGTTCAACATCCTCACTCTACAGGATAAACTCACTTTTACTCCCCACGTTCTATGAATAAGCACTGTTTCAAGGCTGCTGCGCTGTGACTTTCAATAAGTAACCTAAAATGAGTGAGCTAGATTTAGGTGATTCTAAGTAACTCCACTAGCCTTCAATAGTATAAACATTTCTACATAACTTGTTGCATGCTGATTCAACTCTAAATAATCTGGTTTTACCCACGTGCAATTTGATGTCTTTCTGGTTTATCGCTTCCCTGGACTCAGAATAGAATAATACTTAAGGGATTTGATAAGGAGGCCTTGCTTTTTTTTGCTTATGGGTTGTTTAATCTTGGAACAAAATGTAAGATTACAAAAAGGAATAAGCCTAAATATTTGTTATCAGTAGAGAGAGCACGCACTAAAAATCTGCATTTATTTTCCTCAAAACCAAATGCTGGGACATAGTTATACAGGGTGGGGCAAAGGTAGGTTTACAGTAGATCGTACAGAAAATAATACAATAATAAATAAATAATAACACAAGAATAAACTCCGTGTTTCACGTACTCACAACTGTAACCCTACTTTTGCCCAATCCTATATTTAAATACTAACCAATGGCATCAGACATTCAATTTGATGGATAATTACAATAGCCACATTCCAAAAACCTTTATATACACAACCTAAAGAATTACTCCTAAAATCATGCCAGACCAAGGCTGCCTGGAACAGATTAGGGTCAACGCATACAAAGACATATATACCACTCTTTACTATAAAATTTTTCAAAACCCCATGGAGAAAAAAATAATTTATATTTATAAAGAAAAGATGAATATTTAAACACTCTTATAAACAACAAACTCAGAAAAAAGTAATCAGAGTATTACTTCTTACATATAAGGCAACTAATGCCCACATATCTCAAAGTCCTTTACAAAAGGAGACAGCTTAGTAAGTTCTAGTTCAGGCCTTTTTTGTATGTATTACTTTTTCTTCTTTTTCTTTTCATCTGCTTCCATTTTAAGCTTAACTTCTTCAGCTGTAAGAGCTCCCAGTTTCTTGGTCTTTGCTTTCTTAACCTTTTCCTTGATGGCAGCCACATCAATTTTCGTTTCAGTAGAAACTAGACAAATAAAAACATAATGTATGTAATTCTTTAGATTTTGCCAAATAAACATAAAGAGTATGTATTTAGAATAATAACTTCAGAATACTGTTATAATTGAAAGGTCATGTTCCAAAATAAAAAACACCTGCCATTGGCCTAAAGTCAGAAACTTCTTTAAGAGAGAAAAAAATAATCATAAAATACTTTAAAAATACATTAGTGAAAGAACACATGAAAATGCCATTATAGTTTAGCTATGTGAACCAATTACTGGATTCAGTTATATTAAAACTACATTCTCCCCCTTAAATCATACTTGAATTTAGATTATTTTTACTTATATTATTTTCCACATTTTGGAACTTTAGAGTACTCATTAATATGCCAATTTTTCCATCTTGCACATTAAAATAATTTAAAATTACATTTCATGAAGAATATTACATGTAGTCCTTTCAGCTTCCATAATTTTAATTAACCATGAAGTTTTAAGTCAAAATCTTCATCTAATACCACATAAAAATGTAAAGTTTTTCTAAATGTTAGTTCAATGAATGACTAGTAAAATTTTATTTAACAAGATTTTGGTAATAAAAACAATAATTTGAAAGTATTTAGAGGGCCTAACAGACCTCAACCATCTAATCAATGCCAAAAGCATGAAAAAAATAAAGGAAGCAGCAAAAAACCCACAACTTTTTCTTATCATTTAAAGAACAGTATTCAGAGCACAAAAAATTCACAAGATAAAATATCACCATACAAACTATCCAGCAACTTGAGAAGCAGAGATTTAAAGCCTCCACTATAGTGGAACAGCTACATTTTTAACCCTAATAAACTGAGATAAAACTAACTATTGAACTACCTTTAAAGTACATAACTGACACATTGTACAAAATGGAAATATGCTTATGACATTTTTAACTTTTACATAACCAATGATCTACACAGTAGGATATAGGATATTTACAGAGGTTAACACTGATGTAAGATAGTAAAATAGTAAACGCTATATCTGGTTTTGACCAACAGGTCATGTGCAGTGCTGCCAGTGACACCCCTCCCCTCATTGTGCCGGGCCACTTTGTAGAATTACGTTACGAAAAGTACAATGTTACTAATGGGAAAAAAAATGCAAAAGAGGAGAGGATGAATCAGAATGAGGCTGGGAACGGAGAGAAAAGGCACCTGAGTGCTTCCTCTGAGCACCTGTGCAATAGCCCTGAATAAAACCTTCCCATTTTTGTTGGCGTCCTTTAGCCCAAGGTGATGAGAGATCCATGTTAACAACACAGGAATCAAACTTTAAGCCACAGATCACATGAGAAGAAAAGCACGGCTTCTGATAAGCTCTTTTTGAAAGCGCGATAGCACAGCTCAGGGATCTCACGGCTTTACTCTCATTTTTAGAGGAGCCACTGCTCTGATTTATGTCTTTCAAAACAGAAGGTCCTTCCCAAGCACATCCAGAGGTGAGGAGAGGACTATCAGTCTGGGTGCTTACATGGGCATTAGCTGCTACTGAAGTATACGTTACCTCAGTAGTTTCTTGTCCCCAGGATTAGTGATTAATAAAATGCTAAGTGAATTAACAGAAGATATGGTTTCCTTACTTAGCACTCAAAGAGATTTAGGTAAATTCACTAAGGGTTTACTTTTCTCCTAACAGACTTTTACATCATACTGAGAGTTGGAAAACAAGTTTTACCTTCCTTAGGTTTCGCAGCTGGTTTTTCTTTAGGTGGAATAAAAGCTTTGTTTCTTTCCTCTTGTCTCTTACTGAGAGCTTCTGCTTGTTTAGCCTACATTATTAATAAAAAACACAATGAAAGACGATGTACAGTTAAATAAGAATTCAAGTTTCTATGAACTTTGCTATTTATGTTGTGAGCTAGACATAGTCTTACCTTTATTGCTTCCATTTTCTGTCGCTTCTTTTGACTTGCCTTCAGAAAGTATTCACCACTAGCCAGTTCTTTATCAATCTGTTGAAACCAGTATTTACAATTACATCAGAAATAATGTAGATAAGAGTCATTTTCTAAGAAGGGAATGTCCATGAGGTAAAGACATCGGGGTCAAAAATCTATTCGTTCATAAACGGAGTGAGAAAAAAGGAAGTGTACTCTAAGCTGAAGGGGATACGTGCACAAAAGCACAGAGGGAGGAAAGGAGGTGATGTGCTCCTGGAATATACAACAGACTGCTTTTATGTAGGGTGGAAGGTCAATAACTCAGAAAAGTATAATAGGAAACTGGAAAAACAGTTTTGAGGAAATTTGAAGAAACCTGAATGTCAGGCAAAAGATGTGGGACATGATTTAGAATAGAGTGGGTTTTTTTAATGTGAGATTTATTTTTCTCTCTCTCAAACCTCACCCGAGGACATGCTTAGAGAGAGGAGGAAAAGGGAGAAGGAGAGAGGGAAACATCGATGTGAGAGAGATATGCTCCCCGACTATCAAATCCACAACCCAGGTACGTGCCCTGACCAGGAATCGAACTGCAACCTTTCGGTGCACGGGGCGATGTTCAACCAACTCAGCCACTCAGGCTGGGCCACGGCAGCATTTTTTAAGGAACAGAAGAATGGAGAGGAGATAAAAGCCTGGAACTAAGGCAGTGGCAGGCGAAATGAAAAGCAAGACTCGTCAGATTTGGTGACTAATGAAACAGTAGAGAAAGCTCCAGCGCATTCATTCACTATACAGTCGACACTGATTATTGATCTATCTTGTAAGTACACAGCATTATTATATCTAAGGCAATGTTCTAAACTCTTCACAGCTGTAAGCTCCTTACAATTACTAATTCATTTAACCCTTGTTAACAATTCTTTGAGAAAGGTGTCATTATCCCCATTTTATGTATGGGGAAACTGAGGCATGCACGGGTTAAATAAATTATTAGCAAACAGGTGGCAGAATAAATCAATTGAGAATTACTATTTCAAAAAGCTTACAGTTTAGGGGGAAAAGGTGAGATGACCGCTACCAATAGGACAGGTCACGAGAAGTACAGCAGGTGCACGGAACACGCGTCAGTCCCTGGATCCGCCACTTCCCCCAACTACCAGTTTCTTTCTGGCTTCACCTTCTCCCTTTCCAGAGGAAACCTCATGATCCAACTCTTCCCCTGTTTTTTCCACCATGATGGCCACCATTTCTTTTTCCCTTTGACCTTTCATCAAACCTCCTCCCCAAAACTTCATACACAGGGCTGGTGAAGACAGACAGCACCCAGAAAGGGAGGGGTTACACGCTGAGCACAAAGAATGAGCAGGAAGGGAAGAGTCTCCAAGGGAGGGAATAATGAGCCAGAACCCGCAGGAGACAGGTGAACATGGAACTAAAAGAGCAGGTAAAGGAAGGAGTGACACAGCCTGGCTGGCGTGGCTCAGCAGTTGAGCATCGACCTAGGATCCAGGAGATCATGGTTCGATTCCCAGTGAGGACACATGCCCGGGTTGCAGGCTCAATCCCCAGTAGGGAGAGTGCAGGAGGTAGCCGATCAGTGACTCATCCTTGATGTTTCTCTCTCTCTCTCTCCCTCTCCTTTCCTCTCTCTGAAACTGATAAAAACATATTTAAAAAAAAAAAAATTCAGTGTCATCCCCTAGGAGTGGGAGGGTGCCTAGAAAATTAAGAGGATTCACAGAACTGCCAGACAATACTGAGGACCTATCTGAGATTGGTAACATAAATTGATCATGAATATAATCCAAAGGCATGACCTCCTCCACCTATGTGTGGTAGCCTCATTACGGAAAAGAAGTCAAGTTTTAGGACTGATCCAAGTTTAAGAGTTTTGCTAGGCAGGTGTGATGGAAGGAAAAGGGAACATGAAAGAAAATGACGGGCAAGATGGAAAAGGACATTTTGGAAAGGAAATGAAACCAGAAGACAATTGACAAAAGGAGAGGTATTCTAAATTTAAGATTTCAAAATTGGAGCAGTCATATAGCTCACGGTCACAGGAATGATGCTAAGGCAGAGTAGAGAGCATTTTGGGCTAAATCGTTGAATTGTTTACAGTGGCTATAGGGACGTGAGTGACACCAACCACCTTGATATAGTTTACCCTCTCAATGTGAAGCACACCCCGTTTCCTATATCTTACATACTCAAGCACATACATATGTATTCACAGATCAAATCCACCTAAAGTACCCTCAATAAAGTTTTTGACAAAATTGATTATATAAGTTTCCCCTTCATGTAACGAAATTTAATGTTTAATACTGACCTGACTTTCTGGCTGTGGTGGTGGGAATGGCGTATACTCTTTCTTAACAGTTTTCTTCTTTGGTTCCTTGCGTTTATTTACATTTTTGTGCTTGAACTGTGGCAAAAATCGTTCCCAACTTTGTGATCTTAATTCAGAATCTTTTGCCAACTCTCGTTTAATCATTAAGGTCTTTAGTCATGCAATATACAAACAATGTAAAAATGTTAATTCCAAAAATCATACATTTGTCAGCCAAACTAAGACATTATAAATATTGTTCTTATAAACAGATCTTAGTCTCTTAGGTAGGACGAAACCAATTCCATAAAGAAAAGAATATGTAACCTCGATTTTTAACCAAGCATCAGAAAACCATTAGAAATTTAGATTAAGAAATTCAGAATTGTTAAAATAAATTGAGATGAAAATGAGACTAACTCAGCTTTTTAACCATTATTCATTAAATCCTTCAAATTCAACTTAAGAGCCTGGAGAGTTCTTAATAATATCCCCTGCAAGTAGGGAGCTTCAGTAGCACCTGAAATATCAGAGGGGGAAAAAGGCAAACTTTCTCATGATCAGACAAAACCGTATTCTCACATTTCCTCCATTCCATCTGAATTTTACAGACACTGGAACATGAATATGCAAATCAGGCATCAGATGCATGACTCTCTATCTTTCACACCCAATGTAACTCAAAATTGTTCTCCTGCCTCGATCTAACAGAGACGTTTAAACTTAACTTTGTCAAATTTAAGTGGACTGTTCAACAAATACCCATCATAAAACAGCTCATTATACCATGGTTACACTTCCAAGTACAGTCACGAACTTTGTGCACACAGGGATGTAACAGATCTCTCTCAAAAGGCTAATATACAAAACAGATAAAGTGGAGCTATTATGGGTAGACTAAGTAATCTGAGTGTTAATACCCACCCCCAAAGGTTTTACTGCAATCTGAAATATTCCAGATTTTATTTAATAGAAAAAAGTAGAATTCTGAAAGATCACATCTCTAAATATAGTACACAGGCTCACAATCTAAGAAAACAGATTGATATAATCTATGACAAATCCCGTGAAACCTTTCTTTGTATCTGTATTAGAACTATATAATACATTATAGTGTCCCTATCAATATTGAGATTCACAGAGACCCAAGCTTCCAAGGAAGTAACTACAGGACTAGGTAGAGATGAGTGGGTTGAATTTTACCCCTAATTTACCCAAAATAGTTCTGCTTTATCTGTTTTGTATATTAGACTTTTATAAAAATTTAATTTCAAGAGAAGTTTCTGTAGCTAAAAGAAGTCTGACAACCACTGTTATAGCAATATATAATTGACACTCACTTTAATATTATAAATTGGATGGATATTCTTCATAGTATCTAGGACTACTTTTCGAACCTGAAATTTGCAAAGAAAAATGAGTAAGTCACTTAAAAATTTTAATGAACCAGGTAGAAGGGGATTACTGCATTGCAAAACATCCTACAAACCAGGCAATGGCTGCCAAACTGAATATAATAGTTCCTTCAACAGCTCTTAGTGGCTGCTAGATCTTTCATAACAGTCAACCCTGGGTACAATGACGTTACTTAATTGTACTGCTAAAATGTGACACATGGAACTAGGACAACACTCTGGAACTGAGATTTAGGGGGAAGAGAGCTGGATTTAGAGTCAGAAAATGTGGGCTCAAATAATGGGACAGTCATTTAATGTTCCTGTTCCAGCTTTCTTATTGTAATTTGGAAATGAAAATACCTCAAGGGTCTGTTGTAAGAGCTGAATAATATATTTAGATTTTATGGAACTATAAAGTATTCAATGTATTTAAGGTATTATTGCCCCACAAGAAAAGAGCAGATAATTTACAAGAATGAGGTTCAATAGAGCTCTATTAAAGGCCCTGAAAAGGAAGAAGCAGGACCTCCCAGCCAAGTCCAGACAACAGCATAGAAAGGAGTTAATTGAAACAGTATCTGCTCGACAGATTTCCTCATAATGAGTTAAAAAAAATGTTCATGAAAACATTAAACATTATAATAAATTCAAACAAAAGAAAATTTATCTTTTGTTGTTGTTAATCCTCACCTGAGGATATTTTTTCCATTGATTTTTTTAGAGAGAGTGGAAAGGAGGGAGGGGGTGGGGAGAGAAAGAGAAACACTGATGTGTTGCCTCCCACATGAGCACCGAGGGGGCCAGGGGATTGAACCTGCAACCCAGGTACATGACCTTGACAGGGAATTGAACCCGAGACCCTTGGGTGCATGGGCTAATGCTCTAACCACTTAGCAACACCGGCAGGGCAAAGAAAATGTAATATAAAGGAAAAAAAGTTTTTAGTCTGACCTCTACTGTCTATATCTGTTCCTGCAAATAACATCTGTTCAATTCCCTCATATTTGAACACATGTAAGTACATCATGTTTCTCATATGTGCTAGAGACTAAGAGCTTAAATACCCATTTAACATTTGTACTGGAAGGAGTGATGGTGTGCAGACCTCTTAATTGAGAAATGGATGTCTGTAATTGTCAAAGGTTGGCCATAATATGTTAGGATCCAGGAGTGATGACTCCATCAAATTCCATGAAGTACAAAGTATTTACTAATGGAAAATCAAACAAAGCACATTCTAAAACAATACAATAATCATAAAACATTATAACCAAATTATGTAATTTGTTCTCTGCTGAAAATTAACTAAAGATATTAAGTAATTCTCACCTCTTTTAAGCCACTAAAAGGTCCAATGGCTGAAACCGTGTTTCCCTGAACCATAATGTAACAGTTTGTTAAGAGTTCCAATGCCTATGTCAAAAGAACAGTAAGTTGAAGTTCAGTTGAAATACACTGAAAAACTAATGACAAAGAAGATATCAGTTTTTTACTGATAAAAAGTACCTTCAATGTAGATCCTTTGGGACCAATAAGCCGTTGTCTTCTTTTTACAAATCTTTCTTTATTTCTTACTAAAGAACCTATTTTAATAATGTCGCATGCAATATCATCCTGAAGAATTCGTACTGCCTTTTGAAAAAAATAAAGAAAACATTCCACCAATATTTATAAATACATTTCTTTTCAAAGCCCACACTGATATCTAAGCAGAATAATGAAAACTCTATGCAGGGAGGGAGGGAGGAAGGGAAAGCAGGGGTAGATGGATGCAGTGCTGTATGTTATCTCTAATGGCACAAATAAAGCAAGATCCCTGTAATTGTAAATTTACCTGTTCGAATGAAACACTCCTTGCTAACAGTTTTATTAGGTCTCTGGCCCTAATGATGATATAGGGATCAAAAGTCTTCTTTGTTGTACAAACAGTCATGCTGCCCTCGATCAGGTCCAGGGTTGCATTAACGTGCTACAAAAAAGAAAGAGCAAACAAGCAGCTGTCTAAATAAATTCAATTTTAGATACTTATAGAATCTATTCTAATCTAACTATTAATTACTGTATATTAATTTCTCTCTAAAATTCTATCAATTCCCTCCATGAAGAAGCTGGGTAGTTAATATACAAAAGGCTTGGTTACTTTCATACTTCAAAGAATACAGAAACTCAAGCAATTGAAAACATTTATACTTATTTGGGTTTAGAATACTTTGTACTTACTGGAATAAAGATAATCTCTAGTTTTAAAAATATATATCAATCCAAATGAGGCCATACTTAAGACATAAGGTAAAAATGTAAAGCTGTATGGCTTCCCTATCCTGGACCTGGCTCTATACCGACATCTTATCCTTAGGGTGAGAATGGACTTCTCTTCCTAACTTTTCAAGCTGGTTTGTATTAGCTAAATACAAACAAAATAAAAATTATTATTGGTTCAGAAAGAAGCAATTATTGAAAAATTATGAATCAACTCTCAGTAGAAAGAGCCAGATTTTAACAAAGCAAATAAAAATGTTATTTTCTGACATGTAAGCATATTCTGAAGAATACTTAAACCAGAGTGAGTGATGAACTACTCAATATAAGGTAGGGTCTCTCTGAGTTTACAAGGGAGTGGGGGAGAGAGAGAGAAAGTCCAATCCCAGATGTAGACAGCTGTAAAACACTGCTTGGAGTTTGCCAAGCCACCCTCTTACCCAATGGTCACAAACAACTCCAGAGAAGTCCCTCAGTTTGAGATATCACTAGGTTGTGATATTCTACATCACAACCTAGTACACATATACATATATATATACACATATAAATGAACCAAAAGTTTCATAAAATCATCCTTACCACATGTGATACATTCATTTTTTAAAGACTTGTTATATCCACTAAATTGACTTCTGGATCCACTAATGGATTTCAACCCACAGTTTGAAAACAAAAACAAATACACCACTCTAGGGGCATGACAGCAACAACAAATAGGGAAAACATGGCATATCCACATCTTTTACTTAAAATGAAAATTAAGCAATTAGACAGGAATATGCCTCGACTCAAACTGTCCAGGTACATGGCAATCACCATAGCACTGAGCAGGCATTCTGAAACTTGGAGTTCACAGATGAGTTTTAGGCAGTGTATGAAATCCCTACAATTTTAAAGGTATATGAATTTTTCAGTAATCTATTAGTCACAAAATTAAAAACAAATGGATTACAAGAATAAAGCTTATCTAGGCTGTTTAAAACACCAAAGGAACCAAATTAATCAATTATGCTGGCATCTTAAAAAAATCCAACAGCACACATACATTTACTTGAAAGTAAAGGTATAAGCAGGAGCGAAATCTCAAAGAAATATATAAAATGAAATATGCATACATGTTCATTCAAGGCTTTCTGCACCAACGGCCAGCACTCTTTCAAGTAAGCTTCTCTATATTTTGGGAACAAAGTTGCGAAACTGCTCTCCTCCAAGAGTCCTCTGGGATTGTCCTCTTTGGAAAAAGCTGGTTCCTTCCAACCATCAGGAACTGTGAGGAGTTCTGATTCATCTACAGGAAAAAATTTACACATCAGATTTTAACCTACTTTTGGACATTTATACACATATATTTACAATCCTCTTCTTATGCTTTTTAGATTATTCAAGTCAAAGAACAGGCCTCTATCATTATCACCAACACAGTGTATTAAAATTATTTATACACATTTCAGTTGCCTCATAAAGCAAAGTTCCTTAAGGGCAGGGACCCTCCTTGGATCCACACTAATTATCATATGCCTATGAGATAGTGGGTACTCAAGTAATTTCCACTGCACTACGCTAGGTTGAGTTGAAGATTCAAATACCATTTTGTTTACAAGACTATTTTGTTTACAAGAATATAGCTAACCTTTTGAATTTTACTGAAGTGAAGCCTGAGTATGTGTGTGTATATATGTATATGCTATATTTGTGTGTGTGTGCACGTGCATAAAACTTTTAAAAGCTGACACTCTGATGTATACTTTCAGTTAATAATCACTGGTATAGGGTTTTAGGTTTTCCAAAGTTTTCATGTGCTATATTTCAGTATATCCTTCATGACAACTATGAGGTAGGAAGAATCAGTATTATTTTTCCTATTTTATGACATTCAGTCCAAAAAGATTTGTGACTTGCCTAAGGGGACATAAAGGTCTCCTTTCATGAAAACAAAATGCCTCTGAAGGGCCATAAATTATCTCCCACATCATTTATTAAAACTCCTGGTCCTGGAAACTCTTAAATCCAACAGCTACAACTTAAATCAGTACTATTCAAAGGTATGATCCATAGGTCTGCAGCATGAGCATAAACTGCAAGTAACAAGTATGTTAGAAATGCAATTCTTGGCCTCCACTGCAGACCTATTGAATCTGAATCTCTGGGATGAAACCCAAGAATCTGTTTTAACAATCCCATCAGGAGATTCTTATGCACACTAAAGTCTGAGAAGCCGGTCTTTACTGTCCATGTTATCCACCCCAGTTAGGTAAACCTGCTCTCTGTTTCTTATACTGACATCCTGTTTGCTATTTCTGATTGAAATCACAGAGAATGAGCTAATCTTCATACATCATTCACTTCCCAATGTCCTTTAAAAAAGCTCGAAATCTACAATTGTCATAAATTAAAATGAACATCTGACCAAGACCCTACCCAATTTAAACACTTCAATGGCTATGAATTAAAAAAACTGGCAAAAAATACACAGAAGTTTTTTCACAACAGAGGAAGAACAAATAGCCCCCAAACATGTGAAAAGATGTGCAACCTCATTAGTAATAAGAAAAGTTCAAATTAAAACCTCAACCAGATACCACTTCATACTTATCAAAGTGAGAGAAATTCAGGTAATACCAAGTGTTACTGTGGATGTAGAACAATGAGAACTTTCAACCCCTGCTAGTGGGAGTATAAACGGGCACAAACCCTTTGGAAAAGAATTAGCACCACCCGCACATACCCTACACGTCAAGAATTCCAATCTCATGTACACAACCTAGAGAAACTCTTGACCATGTAAACCAAGAGATATGTACAAAGATGTTTATAGAAGCATTGTTTGTAATAGCAAATAATGGAAACAATGCAAATGTCTATCAATGGTAGAATGAAAATATAAATTAGCATATATTCATACAAGTGAACATCATATAGTCGTGAAAAGAATAAACTACAGCTTCAAGTGTTGCCCTGATTAAGTAACAAAAACAAAGTTAAACTTAAGAAGCAAGACAAAGAAGCATGCCTATAGTCCTCCCTCATTCATATAAAATTAAAAAGCAGGCAAAATTAAACCGCTTTGTGCATAGATAGTAGATTATGAAGAAAAAGAACAGAATGATCGACATGATTTAGGACGGTTACTTCATGTCTCAGGAAGAAGAATATGATGTTGAGAGGTGCTTCTAGGGGGCTTTTGGGGCCTGAGCGCTCCTTTCTCACCTGTTGGTTTTATTCTTTAAGCTGGACCTACATATACTGCACCCCACTATGTGCGTTCGTAATTACCAACAAAACACCTTTAATAACTTTCTAGTGCCTATAGGATGAAAGTTCAAGGTTTTTAACCCTTTCAGTAAGAACGGTTGCTAAGGCCCTGGGCTATTTCTCTGGCTCCTCTTCCCGTCACTCATACTGAAGCAAACGGATAAAACCAGAATAAAACAAAACAAAACAGCAATTTAAAAGCTGGACAGTCTAAAGAGTAGGCGCCGTGTCGTCTAATATTTTAACAATCTGACAAATAAGAATGATAAAATATCCAAATTCCTTCACGGCCCGCAGATCCCTCCTCCTCCTCCTCCCTCGGTCCGCGTTCGCTCACACACGACGGCCCCCCACTCCCACGGCATCCCCCGTTTGTCAACGACTTTCAGCCATCGCAGCAAAACTGAGGTCTCGCAANCCCACGGCATCCCCCGTCTGTCAACGACTTTCAGCCATCGCAGCAAAACTGAGGTCTCGCAACGCCCTCCAAAATCTGAATCCTCATCATTTTACGGAAGACGAATTCCGCAACAACTACACTTTCGGAGCCTTTAGCAAAAGCGATTGGTTAGAAACACGTGACCGACACCGTATCCGCAGGCCCGGCCAATGACCCTAAAAACCAGCTATGATAGGTACTCAACTTTAGAGAACAGACTCAAGGCGACGTCACACGTTCTCAGCAAACGAAGGAAGCCACCGCAAGTGAACATCCAAACGCAGGCTTCGGTTCTCACACCACCTTACCTCGGTTCTCCTGCTTCGGCTTCTGGTTACGAAATCCACTTTTCCCAGCCGCTGTGGCCGGCCCGTTCTGTTTGGAGGACGCCATCTTGGATCGCTCCCGTAGTAACTGGAAGTGGAACGTTTTTAAATCCTTCCGGCTGAAGCCCGTGTGCTCAACATGAGTTCCGCGGAATTCAGACGCGGAGATCCCCCCGCCTCTGAGCGTGAATGCGCTAAAGCCCGCGGATTTGTCTTCACTGCGGCGCTTCTCTTACGTGGCCAATGGGGAACCAGAGACATTTTTCCCAGGATGCACTGCAGCCACGGAATTTGACTGTCCTCTGGGAATTGTAGTTTAGCTCTGTGGGCAAGTGGGAGAGGGGTTTTGTCTGTAATTTTCTTCCGGCCTCAGAGTCTAACTCCAGAGCTCGGACTGCAGGTTTTGGCCGCAGGGTGCAACCTGACTGTCACTGATGTCACGCATTTGATAAATACTTATATGATAGTCAACTATGTGGTGGGCGTTGGGAGGAGGTACTAGTATGAGAATATATGGTTCTCAGCGGCAGAAAATGACAGTAATAACTAGCATTTACTGTGAGATTACTTTGTGCAAGGTACTTTATGTGCATTATTTCTAATCCTCAAAACCAAACCAAAGTTATAAAGTGAGAAAACCAAAGGTTAAAAAAACCCCAAGCTTGATAATTTTTTGGAAGGTGAGTTTTCAAAGTCCTTGTTTCTGATAGTGATTTTCTGGGGTCTTGGTATTTCTCTTTCTAAGCCAGAGGGATAGTAATTAAGCAACATTTCTGAAGTATTTCACCTAGCCTAAGATTTCCCAAAATGGTTAACTCTAGATGACCCCAACATTCATATTAGCTGACGTGGTATATAGCGGTCATTAACTGGAAAAAAAACACAAACACCTTACAGAAAAAAGGCCCAGAATGGAAGTTATTTCTTAGGAAATACAAATTCGATTCTAGCAAAGGAAAAATGATGAGTGATATATACTAGAAATTCCAATACCTTAATATGCAGTGTTCACCTTTCTTTTGCATTTGGAAGCAGCATATAAATGCACTGTAATAGCATACACATCAAGTTTTGACATAAGAAATATGGCTTTTTAGTCTTCTTTTAAAAAGTCAAATATGTCAGGTTTACAATAAAACTGTAGATGTATTTCAAAGCACAAGAAGATGACTACCAGAAATTTTATTCTAATTACAACTTGTGAAAAGTCATGCTTTTAACATATGAAAAACCTAATTTTGTATTCAAAGCCACATGTTTCTCCAGTGTAGTTTTCCAAATAAAGAGAAAAAACTTAGCAAAGTATTTTCATTTTTCCAGAGGTGCAGAGGACCTATTATACTGCAGTCGATAATAGCCCTTCTAGCAGGCGTGAGGTATCTCATCGTAGTTTTGATTTGCATTTCCCTGATAGCTAGTGAGGTTGAACATCTTTTCATATATCTGTTGGCCATTTGTATGTCTTCTTGGGAGAGGTGTCCGTTCAGGTCCTCTGCCCAATTTTTAATTGGATTGTTTGTTTGGTGTGTAGTTTTATGTTTTTTAATGTACTTTGGATATTAATCCCCTGTCAGAACTGTTTTTTAAAAATATCATCTCCCATTTGGTTGGCTGCCTCTTTGTTTGTTGTCAGTTTCTTTTGCTATGCAGAAACTTTTTAGTTTTATATTGTCCCATTCATTTATTTTTGCCTCTACTTCCCTTGCCTTTGGGGTTAAATTCATAAAATGTTTTCTACGACCGAGGCTAATATATGGTGACGGAAGATGGTTTGACTTTGGGTGGTAGGCACACAGTACAATATACAGATCTTGTATCATAGAAATCTACACTTGAAAGTTATATGATCCTATTAACCAGTGTCACCCCAACAAATTTAATAATTTTTTTAAAAAAGAAAGTAACTTATGGCAAATATTGAAAGAGAGATGCACTGGGAGTAAAACTCTAAGAGGTTTTTAATTTGAAGGGTCTGAGAATTCACAACCTTAGTCATGTGAGGTGAGACACACAAAGAAACCAAAGGATATACAAAGTGGTTTTAGATTCTTTTCTAAGAAATTTTTTGTTGCTTATGAAAAGTTTTCTGAATTTGTCAACATACTATTACATAAATTTTCTCTAAAATTAAATACTATTGAATAAAAAAATATATAATGACCAGGTAAACAAAGAAAACTACTGTGAATTCTGTAATGCTTAATCAGTACATTATAAATCCAAATAATATTTCTGCACACCATTCACACTTCATATATTAGCTAAATAAAGAACAAAATGATATTGCATTATATGCATAGGAATTTTAAAACTCCTTGTAGTAATTCCCTGGGAGTCCTTTAATTGTCAACTACTCTCAAGTTAAGAGCCACCTAAAGATAATATATAATAAAAAAAATATATCACCAAACTTAAAAATGTGAGAAAAAAGAGAAAAAATTATTGCGATCTTTGAGAAGCAACCTCCCCCCCAAACCAAAAACAAATAAACAAACAAACAAAAACCCTTTCAAGAAGGTTAGGCCAAGTAGGGAAAGAAAAAAGCATTTAAAAAGCATTTGGTTAGCATTAAGGGCGTGTAATAATAAGCAACTCAGTTCTTTAAAAAGAAAATAACAAGGTAAAAATAATATTTCATGACCTAGCATTTGGATATAGGACTAAAAAGACAAAGAAAGCTTGGTTAGCGGGTTATTAAAATAAGCGACGTTATGACATGAGATGTTTAACACAGAGCCACGGGAATAGAGAGAGAAAAAATAAACTGTAGCATCATCTTGAGCAAACAATAGGATTCTGGTGACCGACACATGTAGAGAATGAAGGAGACAGAAAGTTAAAAGGTCTCTAATATTAAAAGGCCTGAAAACAGTGCTGCCACTGGTTGCCCAGGGAGGAAGATTTGGTCATGCCAACAAAAGGACAAGAGAAATAGGTAAAGATTTATCCCTCAAATAGAAATTCAGTTGTAAAATGTGGGTCAGTGTTTATGTCCAGGATACATATCTATCCATAGGTTTTTATGTATCTATAAAATGATCAGCCCCCAAATCATCATTAAAGTCCCGAGCGTGGCTGGATTTTCTGAGGGGAAGAGAGACGAACAAGACTGAGACTGAGGCAACAACCGTGACTCCCAAGTGTACTCGATGAAAAGGAGAGAGAATACTTGTTTCAAAACAGAAGGGACCCGGAGGCATTTAACCGTCTCTTTTTACACTCACCCCGAAAGGTTAAGAACTCTTCCAAGGGCAGAGAGGAAGGGGAAAAACAGGAATGGAAAGCCAGATAGCGCTCTAAGATTGCTGGCAGCCCTCAAGAAAATTTGATTTATCATTAGACATTTTCTCTAAGTAAATAAATAAAAATTAGAGTAATATTCACAACTGTTCCATTATCTTAATAATATCATCAGTTCCTCCAGCAACAGGTTTTAATTTGAGTATAAACCCTTCCCCCTGAATGGTACATTTAGCTGGCTACTGACTAGAGAAATACCAATTATTCAATAAATGAGAAATACTATCATTATCAATATAAAAAGCATTACAGTAAAGGGATTCAAGAGAACACTTTCTGTGTCCTTAGTTTGAAACTGGTGTTACGTGAGATGTTCCAGGTCCTGGGGCTCTCTTTCTGTTTGAACCGATTAGTTTAACTCTACTTCCTTTTAGAACATTGATTGTCCTTAAAAAGAATGTAGGCAAGAGAGCAGCCATATGTTTAACCTTTTATAAATAAATATTACCAAAAATATGAACATAAAGGGTCAGCTTTCTAGAAGGACTTTCTTAAGCATTTAAAATAATTGTGTTGGCCTGGCTAGGTAGTCAGTTGGTTAGAGTGTCATCCTGATGGGCCAACGTTGCCAGTTCTATCCCTGGTCAGGGCACATGCAAGAATCAACCAATGCCTGCGGGTATAAGGCCCCATGAAATCATTTGGTCTGGCCCTGCCAAGGCAACCACCGCAGGCGGGACTCGAAATTCAATAAACCTAGAAGCTTTTTTCATAGCTAATTTTTAAGTTGATAATTTTGTATGGCCTGCTTATGATGTTATAAATATCCAAATGACCCTTGGCAGAAAAAAGATTCCCTACCCCTGAAAAGGATAGTATGGCAAGCTTAAATTACATAAAAGTATATTTTAATATACTATAGTTTGTAGAGAATTTTACTAAAATAAAGGTAACTTTTTTCTTAAATTTATTCATTATGACATAAAAATATACAGATGCATGTAGCTTAATTTCCTTTAATTAATGCCTGACAGAAATAGTATGAACTCGATCAAATTCCAAGACAATAAACTCTGATTTCAACAGTTCTAATAAGATATTTACATAACACATTTCCAATTACTTATTTTGCCAAAACTCACCATGCTTTTCAAGAGGAGTCTTGGTTTGGTTCTCAACTTGATTTGAAAAATAAGTTTGATACTTAAGTATAAAAATCAGTCACATCAAAAGTGCAAATGAAATTTTAGACAATCCTTAATGATAGTCCTATTATGTTCTAATTGTTTAAGTTAAACTAGTTAAAATAGGTCAAGTTATTTAGTACAACTGAAACCATGCTTAGTGTGACGATGCTCTAGCACAGTGAAGGCTGTGAAAATAATCATCTTATGTTTTCCCTCCTCGGCTAAAATAAAAATATTGTTCATATCTAATAATTCAGCCACTTACATAACTCTTCCTGTGCTTCTCTGTCGAAAGACGATGCCCAAAGGATTTTCCTTGATTTCAACATCATAAAGTCTACAGTGGTCCCTTGGTTTTCGAATGTGATCCGTTCCGGAGCCCGTTCGAGCTCTGAAATATTCAACGACCGAGGGATCCACAGCCGGCAGCCGGGCTCAGGGTCTTGCACCAGGGAAGCCGCGTGGCATGTTCCACTTCCGAGGTGGGTTCGAAAACCGAAGCATTTCCCTCCAGGTTTACAGTATTTGTAAACCGAAATGCTTGTCAACGGAGACATTCAAAAACCAAGGGATGATTATATTTTCAAAAGTACTCGGTAGTGTGGCTGGAATGTTTAATGGTACTGGAACTTCGTATCTCTTATTTTTTGGATCATGAATCTGTTGCAGATAATAATAAAAATAGAAATGTTTTGCTCTCATTTGGTGACATGTCATGT